GTCTAAACACAAAAGCCCTTTCTGTCTTCTACAAAAAATTCAGTTAATTGCAATAAAAAACTATTAGTGCAAGTTCCACCTGGAACATAAGTGTAAACAGAGAATGAACTTAAGACAAGGAGTAACAGTGTCATGTTTGGGTGATTTACAACAGCAAGGTTCAATGCTATCACTATGATAATTTATTCCAAGCAACCACTTTCATTTCAGTAGTGGTCAGGGTCCAGTTCTGGTAAACAGATTGGTAAAATTCCCTGAGCTGGACACTAATAGGCTGCTGATTTTGGATGATTTTCAAATCCCCATTTGGATTTGGAGACCCTTGAGCTTTCTTCCACCTGAGTGGAAGTTCACCGAGTGAACTGCAGTATTGGCCCTTTCTTTGATTTTGATTTAACATTGATTTCGGTTCATGCTTACATCCTAGGCTGTTCCCAGTGGCAATTCAGAAGCTGACTCACAAGTTCTTCCATCATCCCTGCCAGGGGGCCAGCAGCCCCTGGGACAGGAGAAAACAAGTAAGAGCAGGAACTGTTCCAGCTCTGCCAGCTTAATTGCTGGAAACATGCCAGAAGCTTCAGACAACTTCAATAGCAGGCCTTTGCTGATCTGACTTATTTTGACAGAAATGAGCTAGGGAGCGCACAGGCAAGCTGCTGTACCAGACCAGTGGGAACCTTCAGCAGCACAGTAGTGATGAATGGCAGCAACCACTTCCATCGACACAGGGTAAGCCACAGTTCAACCCATTTTGCTCAGAAGTTGCCCAGTTCAAAACAATTTCTACAATTCATCTTTTCTGCTCCAAGCTAATTTTGAGTCAAATGAGTCAAAATGCTGGCTCCTCTGAGAAGGTACCAACTTTAATTCCGCTTTACTGAATTGGAATGTGTTATGTTGGTATAAAAACCTTTAAGCACGTAGATTTTGTAAGTACTTTTTGAACTCTGCTTGCATAGCTAAACCAAAAAGTCTTTCTCTGTAAATCTGGCGTGAAGAAACTAGGTGTCCAGCTTGTAATTAATATGTTAGGCAGTCTTAAACTCTGACAGAAATCCCGGCCGCAGCTTCTAGATAGTAAAATGCTTATGATTAAAATACACAAACATGCTTCAGAGACCTGTCTAAAACCACTTTGCAGTGATTTTTACCTCTAGGCACACAAGTAGTCCAATGACTTCAGTACAGCTTAAAGGTTGGCAAGATTAAGTTTAAGAAGTTTAGCCAACTGTATAAATATGAATGGAACTCAAATAAATGCAGCAAATATCAAACCCTTTCATTTTAGTGAGTTACAGAAGGAGTTTTGAATGGAAACTCATACAATAAAAAATTGATGTTGTAACCTGCATTTTTGTCTGTTTTGAATGTACCACCAATGTACACAGGAGATTTATGTTCTGCTTCTACCCCAGATACACCCTACTAAATCAAACCATTTCCCTTGGGATCAAATATACTCTGCCAAATTCTACAGAGAAAGCCTGATCCAAAACTCATCAAACTCTGCAGAAATATTCCAATTGATTTCGGCTGGCTTTGGAATAGGCCCATATTGACATCCATTCAACTTTATTGAACTAAGCTTTCCTGTGGAGCTGCAGCAGCCAATATGGACATAATGACTTCAAAACCAAGCTTTAAGGCCACTGCCAGTCAAATAACATCACAGCAAGTAAATGACAGCAGAATGAACTCATTATTATTTACCTAGATTTAAAAAAATGCATGTTTCTGAGCTCACTACTGTATTTTCCAGGTGAAGAAAACTTTCAGTTTGCCTTTGATCCCTCTTAGATTTTTCAGGCTGAGTCACAAACTACTCGTTTATCACAGGCCACTGAAATAAGTATAAGGTTTGCATGAGGATGATAAACATAGCACGGTAAAAAGATGCACAAAAATTAATATATTGGGGAGTTTTGGCTATCTGCTTACAGCCAACATCAACTACCTAATTTTTTCCTGCCATTAAACTACATGTTAAAATTCCACTGACATCAACAGGAATTAAATATGAGCTTGCCACTTAGGATTTGGCATTCTCTCTTGCCACCAATTCAATTCTTTGCTGACTTAATGGACAACACACCCTTTTATGACAGGTCATCTCACTTGCACTTGCTTGAGACATTTATTTTCTCACATGTAATGCCATAATTTCAAGGAGACTAGTTTAGGAACAAGGATGACTGTGTAAATATAAAAGATAAGGTCTCTTTGTGGGTTTATTATGTTCTGGATTGGAATGTTATTGTAAGAAATTAGTTGGGAAGGCCCAAAAGAGAATTTACAGTCAAATCCATGGAAAAAGTTCATCTATTTGAGTAAAGGAGTTTAGTAAACATCAATGGAAACATTTACTGAGCATTTCCTAAAGCATGCTTAAATACATCTAGACTACAGATAGAGGATGCTACCCACGCCTTTTACAGTACCAGAGTAGGAGATACTAACCTGGATTTTAAAAAGGCATAAAGAAGAGAATTGCATATCCTACTTTGCATGACTGAAAACACAGGACACTCAACAAACAAGGTCTCGGGTTCAATAAGAATTGTTTCCTCTGCTGATCTGAGCCTTCATTAGATAACGTAATCTTAAAGCAATGACTTAGAAGGACTCCTTGCAGGCCTTACTTATTTCATTAACTTTTCAAGAACCAGATGCAAATCGTATTTCAACCTCTTTAAAAATCTATACTAGTTTGGTGCTTCTGGACAACTGATTCAGTGCCCAAAGGCATATCTATATAATGGCATACCTGAAAAATGCCTGCTTACCCACAGGCTGCCTTAGTTCCCTAAATCCTATGCATTTCATTTTGCCCAAGAGGGATAACTCTCAGTTGCCTAACCTTAAGTATTCAAATGACACTCAGCATTCTGCAATCCTATCAAGGAGAGAAATCCCTCTTGCTGCACAGTCCACTATTTAATAAAAATGCATCAAAAAATATGTGAATGCTTTAAGTTAAGTCATTTGTCCCTGAAGCCTTGTATGACTGTGCCTTGCATCCAGCCTCACTGTTCTCACTGGGCAGATGATGGCGATTAGTTTGTTAAAATCCCGAGTCTCTTTATAACCCGTGAGAAGAGATGGAGTAAACATCAGCAAAGACTGCTGCAGTGCAAAGAGCACTTACACTACTTCGAGAACTAGCAAAATGAATACAAGAAACACATTGGCTACTAAGTGCCTGCATTCCAATTCTTCCTTTCAAATAGTGATGATTTTGTCCCATGCAGTTGCTTTGAAGCACTCAGGAAATCTGATCTACTGCAATTACATACCGTCAGGATGACTTGAAACCTATGACTCCTACACATTTCTCAGAGCCAATGAAAATAACAACCTAGCCTGTGGTTTCTTCTCTTAAAGATCCTCTCCTTCCCCATACAGAGATCCAGGCGTCCTCATTTTGCCAGAATCCAGACAAAGGTGCATTTTACAAGTATGCCCTGGGCTGGAGAACTGTTTATAAACCAACCTATGTTCAATCTATTATGCATGCATCCCCCGCTGAAGTATTTGTAATATGACCTCTGCATCCCTGCCAAGAGCTGGGATATCAGTTTGAAACCCAAAGCATCTCTCTCCCTCCCCCTTCCCTCTGCCTTACGGTGATCAATGAAGGCATCCGCAGTCGAAGCAGTTGCAGGATCACCTTTTCACACCTGCCCTGAGCCGGGATTTTCGTTTGTAGCCCAAAAGCCCCTGCTCCCTCCCTTCTTTCCTGACATACCGAGCCACCCCGCAGAGCGCTTCGGCCCGGGGCAGCCCCCTGCCCACCTACCCGCGCCGCGCAGCTCCCCAGCCCGCAGCCCCATGCCTCTGCCAACGCTGCCTTTCTGCGCCCAGTTTCCCTCTCCGCAAAACGGGAAACCCAGCCTCTCCCCGCGTCAGGTGCACCTCTTTTTTTTTTTTTTTTTGGGGGGGGGAGCGGGGGGAATATCTCTGCAGAAGTGTTGTGGATTGGGGAGTGCAGTTAGATAGGCATTGCAGCGCAAGTACTTCGCTAACTCTTGGCTGTATCCTCTTGTTGCCCTCCCTACCACCAAAACTGCGAGAAGTTTGGGTTTGGTTTTCTTTTCCCTTCTTCTTTAAATAAGTTTTAAAATACTGGTATTCTTAGCGAAGCCGGTCGGCGATGCACGCAAGCCTCCGCTGCTTGCAGACTCTGCACTTCTGCAGTTCAGATTTGGGGGAGGAGGGGGGACCCACGACCGCCAATGTAATACAGCTCCTAGCCCC